CATCATTGGTCTTGTGTGCCCGAATCTCAGCCTTGTTAACACAACTTCTAGTAGTAGGTTGGGATGGACACTGCTCACCCAACTATCAAGGTCATCTCTAATCTCTCACAATTTGCTTCTAGAGGTATGCCTCGATTGCTCCCTCCATTTATCACGAAGACCACTTTTGATACTTTCCATTCCCATGGATGTGAATGGAAAGATTGATAGTAGGATTGTTCAAGGACTGGGGAAGGGGAAGGGGGTCAGATGGGAGTTGACGGGGTGGTGGAGAGGGTCTGGTATTACGTCTGCTGCCTCTTCGCATTCCTGCTTGTCTTATTATTTGGTTTAATGTGTATTCAGAGAACATTCCAATTAACAAATTAGTTTTATTTTCATTTAGACTCGTTGAAGAAGGAAGGTTTTCGGTGTGTGCTTTGGTTTTTAGGCTTTTGGACGAATTTAACAATAAAAGTAGAAATACCTGTTTTTTCAGTAGCTTCCATTGGGAAGTTAGGTGTTAGGAACACCAGGTTTTTATTATTAACACTGGTGCACAATGAAGTTAATCATCTTTGTGTCCCTTGTTTTTATAAGTTTTCTAGAGTGTGTAATGCTAATTATGTGGGCCTTTTTGATTTCTTCTGGTCCAAAAAGATTTTTGACCTGGTCACAGATAATCAATCTAGCCAACACCTTTTTCGTATCAACAAAGTATAATATTGTGTTCAATAATATTGTACTATTTGCACTCTTCACTGTTAGAGTTGATGTACCCGATACCTTGGGTGGGGGAACAGACATTCCCTACGTTGTTATGGGAGGGGCAGCTATGACCCACGGTATCTTGGGCCCTTGTCCACGGGCGGGGGACCCATTACAATGGGAAGGGAGCTCGATATTCTGGGCTAAGGGCTCCCTTTTCCTGTTGGCACGGGGAAGTAGCCAGAATTCCCTCTGACGTTACGGGACCACGAGATACCATGGTTTGCCGAGTTTTTGGATGAGGCAGAGACCCGCTGTTGTCTAAATACGGAAGCAATACAGGATGAAGTTGCAATGATACTCTTGCTAGGTGAAAGGTAATCATGTACTGGAGACTACGATACTGGAATCTACAATGCTAAACTATTATTGCATTATTGCAAAAATGTCTATTCCTCCAGTTATGTTAATAATAACAGTTACCATACCATAAGACATACTTTATACATGATTAATTAGTATATACAAAACCCTAAAATAATGTTATGGAATAAGTTCTAGAAGCACTGCAGCTTTCACGCTCCAATCATGGTTTGTTTCACATTATCAACTGACAATATGCAATGTTAATGGTCAGCCTGACAGCCTGCAATGTTAATAAACTTGATGTTACAATTCTATATGATCGTTTTCATTTACAATAACAGAGTACGAAGTAAGATTTCTCTCAATGCACAGAATGTCATATACAGCATGCATGCATGTCAGCCTGTGTGGACGGTGGACAATATATGCCGTTAGGCTGACGGGAATGCAGTAAGTAATGTGCGAGTGTGCAGCTTCAATTAAGGGCGTCCGTGACTGATGCACAATATCATATTTTTCCTTTTAACTTGATGGCACATATCTCGATTATATTAGGTTATAAATTCTTTGCATTATTATAATTACAGACTAAAATCTAAAAGACCATTTAAAGATATACTACACACACACACATTTATGTATATATATAAATTGTGTAATTTTAGATATAATTGTGTACATATGTAATATATATATGTATTCCATATAGTATATATAATATATATATGTATATACTATGTATGAATATATAATATATATATATAAATATATATATATATATGTGTGTGTGTGTGTGTGTGTGTATGGAATGGATGTGTGTGTGTGTGTGTGTGCGCGCGCGCGCGCGTGCTCATATATACATATATATAAATAAATGTATATATATTTGCATGCCTGTTCATCGTTTTGGATATTGATTCATTCATTATTTAAAATTATCTGCCTCGTCAACAGCTAAGGTCATTAGCGGCGAACACCTTGTTAGACTGAAATATTAAAATATTTAAAACGTTAAAAATCTATCAATAAATGTTATAAAAAAACAATAAATATTTTATAAAAAATCAAAGCATAAACATTATGTTCTAAATGTCTAAAAACTATTGTATAAACATTATGCATAATTACATTTTATTGAAAATATTACTTTCCCTAAGAAAACTAATAAGACCTGTCACAATCCTCCCCAATACATTTTTCAGTGTATATGGGGGAGACAAGTACCTTCGTCTTTGGTCTGAGAATCTTGCAAATCTTTCCCCTATATGTGCGACCGTTAATGGCTCTTGGCATTCCTCACAGTGTGCTTCACTTTTAGCTATCATCGGCCCATGAGTCATTCTTGTGTAACCAATTCTCAGTTAATACAACTTCCACTTGTCGGTTGCGATGGATGCTGGTCACCCAACTGACAAGGTCATCTCTAAGCTCTCGTAGTTTAATTCTAGAGGTATGCCTCCATTGTTCCCTCCATTTATCATGGAGACAACTTCTGATGCTGGATTTCAAATCAGTCTGTGGAGAGGAAAACGAACATCACAAGGCTGAGCGGCAGCTGCCTTGGCCTTCTGATCAGCTCGCTCATTCCCACTGATACCAACATGTGCTGGCACCCAACACAGAGATATCTTTTTATGTGCTGACATCAGTGCAAGCCAATCTTGAACTTCCCTCGCCAATGGATGTGATGAGTTTAAGCTCTTGATTGCTTGCAAGGCACTACGAGAGTCAATATTTTACAACAGAATAGTTTGTAAGATCTCTACTCATCTTGACTGCTGCAAGGATGACTGTCAGATGCAGTCTTCCTTCTGCTCACTGCTACTAAGCCTACATCATTTTCAGATTTCGAACCATCTGTATATATTGCATATGATCCCTGGTACTTGGAAGTGTGAAATATCTCTCTGACTTCTGCTTCGGATTTCTCCCCTTTCCCAATTCCGACCAAATCAAGCTCGACTTGATTAGTTCAAAGGGGGACTTGGGAAGTTCCAACAATCAGAACCTTTGTTTGATTTAAATTAAGATCTTCCACAAGATTCCTAATTCTCCTACCATAGGATCGGCTATCCTCAAGGGGGTAGAAAACCAATCTGGATGTAGGAGATCCTGGAATCCTTTGTAGTCTCGTGAAGGTGAAGACCTGAAAATCCCTATACAAATTCTCAGAGCTTCATCAAGAACCGAATCCAACATCCGGAGAACAGTGGGAGTTGCAGATGAATAAGCTTCGCATCCACAGTCGAGTTTAATACGAATAAATGCTCGGTAAACTCGCAGAAGCGTTCTGCGGTCTACACCCCAATATAGGTGTGAAAGATCCCACAAAATACTAAGCGCTTTTGTAGCTTTCACCTTTAACTGTTTAATGTGAAGCACCCATGTAAGCCTTGAGTCAAAAATTAAACCCAAGTACTTTACCTGTTGGACAAAATATAGTGGGTTTGCTCCTAAATAGAGGGAAGGGTGGAACTTTCCTCGTTTTTGGAAATGCATAGCCATTGTCTTGCTTGGAGGAAATTTTAACCCATGGTATGTTGTCCATTGCACAACCTGATTTATTGCAGTCTACATATGTCCTAGCACATCCTATAAGTGTAAAGTCATCCACATACAGACTACAGCACTTGGAACGACCTTTACGATGTCATTTATAGCAATGGCAAACAGGGTCACACTTAAGACGCTCCCTTGTGGGACCCCTTCCAGCTAATCTTCCAGCTCAGAGAAGCTGTTTTCCACCCTCACTCTAAACTTCCTGTTAGTAAGGAAGCTTTGTATGAAGGTTGGCAATGCTCCTCTTGAAACAATGTCATACAGCTTCATGAGTATGCCATGCTTCCAAGTAGTATCATAAGCCTTTTCAAGGTCAAAGAAGATTGCTAAAATATGGTGTTGCTGTGTGAAGGAATTCTGTATAGCAGTTTCCATCCTCACAAGTGCATCTGTGGTCGATCTCAGTTTTTTAAACCCATATTGGTATGGGGTCAGTACGTATTCTTTTTCTAGCATCCATGTCAACCTGTAGTTTACCATTTTCTACATCACCTTGCAAATGCAGCTGGCGAGAGAAATTGGTCTATAATTCCCTGGTAAGAAAGCATTTTTGCCAAGTTTAGAGACAAATGATTCTTGCTTTCCATGTGGATGGCATTGTGCCCTCCCTGTAGATTGAATAGATCCAACAGTAACGTTTGGAGCTCTCCGGTGAGCTATTATTTGATATGGAATATCCCAATGGCGCCGGGTCGGAAAACAGCTCTAAACCCGTCATTCCGGGGAACAAAAATAAACCTAGCACGCTCCCGCCGGGACGTGCGCTCAACTCGTGCTGACCCTCTCACCACCCCACCCAAGTTTCAGCGCGCTCGGGGGGCTGGTTTGCGTATAACCGCAACCTCCGTTTTCTTCACTCTAGAAACCTGTGAAAGTTTGGTGACTTACTGTAGCCATATAATATGCCATATGAAGGATTTTATTGTTTCATACTGTAGTATACACTTCATTTTAGGAGTGTTTCACCAATATGAGTGTGTAAAGTCAAGAGTTGGTTTGGGCGAGAGCACAGAAAAGCGGTCGAATTTTTATTTTTCTTCAAAATTGCATATATACATATTTACATATGTAAAAAGGGTTCAGTAACATATATAGGCATGGAATATGCCTACATATTTCAAAATGAAGTTATACTTTACATACATAGTGTGTAAAAAAGGCAAGTACATACATAGTATGTAAAAAAGGCAAGTACATACATAGTATGTAAAAAAGGCAAGTACATACATAGTATGTAAAAAAGGCAAGTACATACATAGTATGTACACTATGTACACACAGTGTACATTGTTTCAGGCATGGTGTGCCTGAAAGCAGGGTGTGGCACATAGGGAAATGCCGCAGCTGGAGCACATGACCCTGGTCTCCTTCCTGCGCCGATTGTTCCTCTAGCAGAACGCACATCTCCGCCACCTCCGGAAGGGGGTGTCGACTGGCATGTGCGCCTGCTGGGGATCCTCCTCAGGTTGGTTCTGAGGAGGGTTCCGGCGGAAGGAGCCAGGCCGGCCACCTGTAAATGCAAGAAAAAAGGACATTGTAAATTACATACTCATAAATGGACATGTAGAATGAAAATCACTATAAAATTTCAAATCAGAATACAAGAAACAAAAAGTCTGATGCTTACCATGCTGCAGCAATTCCCGGACAAGTTCCGTACGGAACTTGTATTGCGAAAACCTTCCGCCGAGGGCCCGGTGGACAGCCAGCGCGTTGACGGTCGTCATATCCAGCATGTAGAAGAAGACCTTTTTGTACCACTTGATGGTCTTCTTGGTTGCTGGATATGACTGCGCCAGCTGATCCGAGAGATCGACGCCCTTCATCCCGTTGTTGTAACAGGCAACAACTTCGGGCTTCGACCTCTCCACCCCTCGGCGGTTGGGAGGCAGGGTAATGACCTTGGATGTGTGGGCAGTGGAAAGCATTGTCACAGGACGCTTGTCAATCCACTGCAGGCAAAGCATTCCGGTGTTGCTGCTCCGGAAGTCGATTTGTCCCCGACTCGCCTGCAAGTCCGAGGGCATACCGCGCCTGTTGGTACGAACCGTACCAATGGCGCTGGTTTTTCGGGACTGCAGGTAGTGAAAGAGAGTCGGGGAGGAATACCAGTTGTCTGTGTACAACTGATACCCCTTGTCGTACAGCTTTGCCTTCGTCATCAGGTCGTCGACGGCCTTCATACTCGCCGGGAACTCGCCGCGATCTTGCCCCATGTAAACATTGAAGGCCGCCGTATACCCTGCCTCTGGACCGTCGGACGAGCAGAGCTTGTAGACCTTCAGGCCCCTCCGTGCCCTCTTGCTAGGGTTATACTGAAGGGCCTGATGCCTGCCCTTGAAGGCCCACAAGCTCTCGTCCACGGTCACGTTCTTGTTGGGGATGAGAACGGAACGGTACGTCGAATCCAAGACGTCAATCACAGGGCCCAGCTTCCACAACCTGTCCTCCGCGGGGTGCTCCCCTTCGTTGTCAGCGAAGTGGAGCGCGGAGGTCAGGATGTCAAAGCGGTCCCTGGACATGGTCTTGGGGAACACCGACGAGCACAGCAACGGGTCCGTCGACCAAAGATCCCTTAGGCACCTCTTCCCCTGAAGTCCCGAAAGGAATCTCAGGCCGACATATGAGCGGAGCTCCTGCACCGTTGCGCGGGTTCTGTCGAGCGTACCTGTAATTGGAAAAAAAAAGACATTGTAAAACAGGTGTTTCAAAAAGGACATGTAGAAATGTTCAAGGCAGAGCACAAAAAACAGTAGGGTAATTTGTAAGTTGCTTACCGATTCGTTTCATCCACAATAGTTTGGAACAACTCCTCTGGGAACAAGCTGAGGAATATCTCCAAGGGACTGGACGATGCGTCAAGGTGTTCGTGCACACCCGGTGTCCCCTCGAAGCCCTGACGCCGGACGAAGTTCTCCTCTCTTGACCAAACAAAACGAGGAGACCCGGGAGCGTTGCGCTCCCACCGGCGTCGTACGTACTCTCCGAGGGGCTCGTCCGAGTCCAGAGAAGTATCCATCAGCGGGACATAATCGTAATCGATGTCTGAGTTTGCCTCTCCGGCCGATTCTTCGGAGTCGGACTCGGATTCCTCCCAATCCGAGTCGTCATCGTTGAACTGGGCGGAGATTTCAACTTCTGTAAAATACGAAAGAAAACATGAGTTCTCTGTAAAAAAAGTTATGCTATGCAGAAACAAAGTACATGTCCAAAGATCCAGGTATTTTTACAAGTCAAAAAGAAGATAGAAAACTTACCAGACAGATCACTAGTCCTGGGGAGCTTCAGAGGAGGTGTATAGTCCTCATCTGATACATCATCATCGACTTCGTCGGCGGATGAGTACAGATAGAGGAGCGGGTCTGGGGCATTCCGCAAGCGAGAATATCCCCTGGAAGTGGACGGTTGGGGGTCGTCCACTGTCTCCTCGTCAAAAGACAAGGCACGGACTCCAGGGGAGTTCTTCGGCTTGCGGCAGCGGCGAGTAGACAACATGCGAGACATCTTTCACAAGATTCTAGCAGGCGAGTGATTACCTTGCCCTCTGCATGGGTTTTTATATGATTTTCCAGAGGACTTAGGCCAATCAGATCATCGATTTCAGGTCACGTGAGTCACGTGATTTGTCACGCGAGGTACATGTAAACTATCGCCAAACTACTCTATTGCCAATCCTTGTGCGCCCGAGGGGTCCAGAAAGTCACGTGATAGGTCACGTGAGGTATGCGCGGGAAACGGGTAATTTTTCTCCGGAAGGTTCCAGAAGGTTCCTTCTCTCTCTCTCTCTCTCTCACACACACACACACATACATACACACACACACACACATACACGCGCGCGCGCGCGCATGCCCGCCTGCCCACGCCCGCGCACACACACATGCACAGTGGGAACAAGTGTCATGGCGCTCTCTCTTTCAAACTTTTTTTTTTGGCTGATGACGTCAGGTCACATGACCTGACGTCATCAGCCAAAACTCGAAAAGTGCAATCATCCTTGAGCCACAAAAAATAAGAAAATTTAGAGAAAAGGTAAAAAAAACTGGAGGATTCGTCGGTGACAGCCTTCCCCGTCACCGTCCGAGTCCACACAGACTTGCACACACAATTTTACAACCTTTTACACACATACACGCCCACAAACTTCCCAACACTCACGTCCGTCTATCAAACAACGACAGACACGCGGAAACATTTATACAGTTCACATACACACTTTCACACACAATTACTTTACTCAACATTACACATACACACTATAGATGCACGCACAGGTTTCACAACACAAACGACCGAGAAACACACACACACACAGCATACAAAGCAAATATGCAATGAAAAGCATGCGTAAACTTTTATACAATTCATATACATTCACATACACACTTGTACACACAATTTTACATCACACACACACACGCACGCACATTTGTACACCTAACTACATCACACGCACACACGCAAAGATGCACGCACAGATTTCACAACACAAACGACCGAGAAACACACAAGTACAGCAGACGAAACAATTATGCAATGAAAAACATGCGTAAACATTTATACAATTCACACACGCACTTTCACACGTAAAATTACGGACATACGCACTCACGCACAGAGAAAGAAAGTTGCGCGCCCATATTTCCACAGATACACACAAAAACACAAACCGACAAACACAAACACGTCAAAGAACAGATATACACATTCATATATGTACACATATACTTGCACAAACATAATTATCAATATGAAGACTTGTATACATATAAACTAGCTCAAAAACAGTAATTCATACAGTCATACAGATACCACGCCTCTTCCCGTCCCCGGCGGGACGAGTAAAAAATCGAGCACGTGTACACACGTACCCGGCGGGACGGGTCCGCACGGGGTACGCGTATACTCGTCACCCGGCGGCAAGGGGATATCCTGGGGCAGTCTTACGGCCCAAAGAGTGGAGAATCGGGCAGTGTAAGATGCTCCAGACGAGATCTCTGCCATGGATTTCGATAGCTCATTTGCAAAATCTGTTTTGTCTGTGAGGATTATGCCATCTATTTTCAGAGCAGGTGGTGATATGGATGTGCTCTTTCCAGCAATCTTACACACCTTGTCCTATACCCATGCTAAGGGGGTCCCCAGAGTTAATCAAGGAAACACACTGCCTCCACGATGTCCATTTATCCTCCTTTAGCTCTCGCTTGGCCTTGGCTCGGGTCTTATTGTACTGGATCAAGGGTACATAGCTTGGGTGTCGTTTCAACTGCCTTAATGCAGCTTTTCTTGCTCTAACAGTTTGTTGGCATTCATCAGACCACCATGGTACAGGGAGGTCAATGGTACTGCCCGCTACTTCTGGGAATTGATGCTTCTGCTGCAAGGTGAATCTGTGATGTGAAGTGGTTAACAGCATCTTGAACACACTGGAAATCATTCACAGATCCTTGCAATACTGCAGTTGATCTAAAAAGATTCCAGTCTACATGTTCAAGTCATCATCTCTGCACTCCATTGGCTGGAATACCATTCACCTCCTATAAAAGTATTGGAAAGTGGTCACTTCCATGACCTGCCAAGTGAAATTCAACTGTGAATTAGCTGAACCAACTGACAGGTCAATATTGGAGAATGTCCCAGTTTGAATTTGGAAATGTGTGGGTGCGTCACTGTTCAGTAAACTTCCATCTACTCTTGCGAACAAGGACTCCAAGGCTCTTCCTCGAGGGTTGCACAAAGTGTCTCCCCAGAGGTGATGCCGACCATTGAAGTCTCCCAAGAGTAGAAGTGAATGCGGCAACTGTCCAAGTAGATCTTCCAAATCATCTATGTTTAGATTATGCGGAGGGAGGTAGAGGGATGCAACAGTGAACAGTGTAAGGTCGTGTCAAGCCTATTCTCATGGCCTTGACCTGCAGTGTCGTCTGCAGGTGGATGGCCTGGAAGGGAACATCTTGATGTACCATCACTGCTACTCCTCCATGAGGTCCATTATCAAAGCTCCCATAATGGGATTGAACTTGGAATCCTCACAGGGAAATTAGAAGATTTTCCCTAATCATAACCTCTTGTAGACATACACAAACTGGATTAGAAGCTATCAGATGTTGCAGTTCTTGGTTTGTTTACCTGTGGAACTAGTTTCCACAGGCTTCCTTTGGACAGGCTCAGGATTTCTTTGCTTGGGCAAAGGTGGCTCCAAGGACTCGACTCTATGAGGAGTCTTTTGAACAGTCTCAGGACTCCTCTGCCTGTGCAAAGGACGTACCTGAGCCTTTGCTTCAGGGGCATTCTGCAGAGGCCCCTGTGGATGTGGTGGCAGCTGGAGCTGTCACCGTTGAGGTTTTTGGAGCATTAACTGATGGCTCCATAGACCTTACTTTGGGAGGAGTCTCCTCAATAGACCTCTCACTCCTACTTCGTTTCTGGTGGACCAACTCACCAGAATCAGTTTCAGCATTTGTAGACTGATGTTTAACGGTAGTGACAGAGTGTGTGGTGTTAGAAGTATTGGAGGGTAAGGGATGGTGGGAAGGAGGATGGGCTAGAACTGAGGCAAAAGACTTACCCGGCTGTGCAAATAGCACATGGGCACGTCGCTTTGCTTCTGCAAAACTAACTTTCTCTATGCTCCTTATTACCAATACTTCTTTTTCAAATCTGTACCTTTTACATTGCTTAGAAGCTTCATGATCTTCTTTGCAGTGGTAACAGTATATTGGACCTGGACAGTTGTCATCTCCCTGATGACCTGTTGTACCACACTTCACACACACTCTTGGTTGGCCATTTTCCGTAAATCGCCAATTGTTGGCTCCGTGCCCATAACCCTGGCAGTGGAAACACTGCATAGGGTTTGGTACATATGGTTTGACCTTGAGGTGGTACCATGCCAACTTAACCGATTCAGGAAGGACTAAGGACTCAAAGGTTAGAAGAAGGGCTGGTGTCAATTGTTCCAAACCATCAACTTTCTTCTTAAAACATTTTGCTGCTACTACATTAAAATTCTTTGGTTCTTCTAACAGTTTCTCCTCAAAATACCTCATCAGGTCTCGGGAAAAGACAATTCCCTTACACTGATTGAGGGTTTTGTGAGAACGTGAGACTTGAGCCCCAGGAATGTCGCATATTGTACGCAGACGGTCACTCATCTGGTGATGAAATCTCAACTATCAGGCTACCATCTTGCTGTGGGGTGATGCGAGGATCATGTTGACACACCTCAACTATCTTCTGATGTACTTCAAAAATATCAAGATCCATGATAGATACACCATCGATGGTCTTCACCACTAAATATTTCCTATAAGATACACTTTCATATTTACCAGTTAAGATTTCCTTAATCGATTGAGGACTTTTCTCCTTCTTACCTGGTTTGGGAGCTCGGGAACCATTACGATTCCCATTTTTGCCCTTTGGAATCAGGGAGAGAGCAAGTTTTTAAATTTGTAGTAATCATACAAATTAGAAATCTTCATTTCCTCACCCCCCCACCCACCATGGAGTCCAACGAGGGGAAGCTATAGTTGGGGCTCAAGTTTTCCCAACAGCTACAGGGGTAGTGAGGAAATATACGCAGTCACCATTACAGTGCTGATGGTAGTCACGGGACCCATGCGCTACCGACTGAACAGTGCCTGCCTTGATCAAGCCACCCATCTAATCAGAATAGAGGACCAAAGAGGCGTGTTGCTAGCTGCAGGGCGCAGCGTGCAGCATCGCTCAACCTCCAGGACTCCCGTCTCCTAGTAATACGGGACGCCATGCACGGCAGACGCGTGGGAGAGTTCTCCCTGGTCCAAGATGGAATGAACCAGGGGTGGGTGCACCATCCCCTCTCAAAGGTCTTGGTGCACCTGGAAGCCATTTTGTCTCATCCCTCACTGGTGACCCCTCCAGTATGAGTAGCCCACTGGTCCGGCTCACCAGATCATTGGGACCTCAAGCCCCCCCCCCACCGCGGCAAGGCGGCTTCCGTTAGGGGGGTGAGTCATCAGACTCACTTCTTTTACAAAATTGTATTCTAGCACTGTGGCTCGCCCAACGAAAAGAACTCGGAACCTACCGCAATATTTATCCTTGCGCAGTTTCCCCCACAACTTCTGGTGCAGCGACTCGTTATGGTTCTGAGTCGCTCCCTTCAGGCGGCATGGTATTAGGACAGGACTCGTTAGTTCACTATAAATACTTTTTAAGAAATTTAATTGTTCATAAGGTATCTGAGCCAAGTATAAATTCTTATTTGAATGCTTGTTGGGTTCTTCCTTCAATGCTTGTGCCCCTGTTTAGAAGCATCATGAGTTGGGGCCAGAGGGACACAGGGAGTGGGCCGGCTTCTCGTCTGTTGACGACAGGTGGAAGAAAGATGCCCAAATTGCCTTCCTCATGGCATCAACATCCTTCCCTGTATTGTCACGAATGGCCTTCCCGTAATATCGTGACAGGTGATCAATGA